TAAAACTCACAATGCAACTTACATAGAAATGTACAGTTTGGTATTAAGTCTTGAAGTTAGGTCTATTCTCGAGTGCTGGGGAATAGTTAATACTAGGGGTCCGGACTCCTAGGAATTGTTATTTTCCCTTCAAAGAGCTCAATTTTAGGAATGTTATTTTCAGGCATAAATGATCAAGACAAACAATGAAATAGGTCTATTTTCATATTCTATTCTCGACCTATTCTATGAACCAAACTTATTGTATACGTAAAAGTGTACAATTCGGTGTTTGATTTGAAGTTAAGTTTTGAACAAGTTCGATTTATCTCCTCAAGACCTTAATGCGAATTCATAAGTCCAGAAACTAGTCTAGCCAAGCTTTTTAAAAATGGTGGTCCTGCAGGCTGCAGTTGCAGGCGACAAGTGAGAAGTGACACCTCCCCTGCAGTGGTGCAGGCTGAGCATCAAATGAATGTGAAGAGCAGAAATGTCAATTTCAGCAATGGTGTTAAAACTGCTACAAACTCAAAGGCCTCTTCTCTTGCATTTACTTCACTCTCCCTCTCTCTCTCTCACTTTGTATTATTGCACTGCTACAAGTCCGTGCAGCCTGCCACAACTCACCATACTCTGCATTTTTCACCAAATTACATTTTAATTAATTGTTAAAAAAAAAAAAAAGATACAAATATCAAGTTTAGACTTAACTATATCATGAACTTTATTTTCAATTAGAGTTAATTCCAGCAATGGTCCTCCGACTATAGTGATTTTCCAAAATTAGTCTCCGACTTTTAATTTGGACACTTTAGGTCCCTTGACTTTCAATTTCTTTCCAATTGAGGTCCTTTCGTTAGAATACGGTTCATTAGATTTTAAATGAAGGGGTAAACTCGTCTTTTCACTTGCCTATGTATTATTCTTCGTATTTTTTCCTTCGTATTTCGTTGTTATACCTTGTAAACATCTCAATAATAGAGGAACGCACACACGAGTAGTCAGCAAATTGGGAACAACGAGGAACATTTTAGGGTGTCGGCTAAGATTATCTTCATATATATCACGTATACAATGGAGAAATACTAAGAATAATACATAGGCAGGTGAAATGATGAGTTTACCCCTTCATTTAAAATTCAATTAACCGTATTCTGACGAAAGGACCTCAATTAGAAAGAAATTGAAAGTCAAGGGACCTAAAGTGTCCAAATTAAAAGTCAAGGACTAATTTTGAAAAATTAATATAGTCAGAGGACCATTGCTTGAATTAACTCTTTTCAATTATATCTAATCATCTTATACATAGCTGATAGCTAGTAGTGTGTGTTAAAGTACAATGTGGAAAGTGTATTTGAAAGTAATATGTGATCATCTTCTTTTCTCTTTTTTTTTTTTTTCTTTTTTTTGAGATTGAAATTGTGATTAAACTGATTTTCTTTCCTCTATCTCTTTTTATCACAATTAGATTAACTTATGTGAGTGACGGGTTTAGATTGAGAGGATATTAAGTAAATAATACTTTGAAATTAGTGTTACAAGAGTATATATTATATGAAAAGAGAAGGAAATGGGTGATCAAGTGAAAACAAAAATGATATTATTGGCTAGCCTCCTTGATTCTTCTCATTTGGAGAGTAAAAGTCTGGATCTTCCCCTCATAAATGGAAGAATATTTACACAATTACACTACAACTAATTACACTAATTACAAGAAGTTGACATTAAGCATTATTTATGCCCTTACCAACTACTTATTGGTGGAATGGTTATGAGGGAACAACGGGGCATATCTTTGTCCTCTTTAGGCCTCGCAACTTGTTGACTTTTACTTTGTTATAAGCTTGGCTACTTATTTTTTCAACCACTAGAGATGTGCTAGGCTAGTCCTGCAACCTATATCCCGTCACTATCAACACTAGAGTCTCATCTTTCGGTAAGTGTAGTTAGAGCATTGATGTGGTAAATTTCACGGGGTATAAATGTAAGTATGTGTAGTGTTACGGTGGTTGGGAATAGTGGCTCAGAGCATTCACAATGGTTGAGTTTTTTTTTTTTTTTTTTTTTTTTTTTTTGAGGAGTTTTTGTAAAGAGAATATGCAAGGGGAAAGAAAAAAAAAAAAAAAAAAAAGTAAAACTAATTTTAAAATAATAATAATAATAATAATAATAATAATAATAATAATAATAATAATAATAATAATAATAATAATAATAAAGTAATAACTGTCGGGTGCCGCTGGGCGCAATGGTGACGCTCACACAGCAGTGGACGCAGTGAATTTTTTTTATATGGGTCCCACCATTTCTGGAATAACTCCTCATTTGCAGATGAACTCAAACTCTCTCTCTCTCTCCTACCTTCTCTCCAATTTGTCACAAATAACCTTAAAAAAATCATGATATTGATGCTCTCAGGATCAAAGTCCGAAGGTCAGAGTTTCCCGAGTTCATAGAAGCTCTAGAGGGAAAGAGCCAACAGTCCCCTCTTTAGGCGTTTCGCGAGGTATTTATAGGGAATTTGAGGGAACACATGCTGAGAGGCCAGGATGTGTGTCACGCGCCCCCCATGCACTCGATAATCTCGTCGACAAAGGAGAGATGTGCACGCATAAGAATATATCTGACTAGCCAATCACTTGCTGGGATCGGTTCAACTGCACAGTATACGGGCTCAGGTTGAGTAATCGGGTCGAGACCGAGCTCATGAAACTAAAGACAGAGGCCCATTAAGCCGCCGAGATGCTTATCCTTCAGGCGGAGCGTTATGCTGTGCATCCGTGTGCACCATGCATAGTGCACACGGATGCAAAAACGACGTCGTTTTGACGTCGACTTAAAAAAAAAATCTATAACTTCATAACTATACATCTAGAATTGCATAACTATACATCCATAACTTCATAACTATAAATCCAGAATTGCATAACTACACCATGCATAATTACACATCCATAACTTCATAACTATAGATCCAGAATTGCATAACTACACATCCATAATTTTATAACTAAAAATCCAGAATGAATGAACTAAAAACCTAGAACAAATGAACAACATAATGCTGTTGCTGGGAATCGAAACTGATTTTTTTTTTTAAAAGTGGGACGCGCGTTTTTAGTCAAAACGACGTCGTTTTTGCATCCGTGTGCACCATGCATGGTGCACACGGATGCACAGTATAATTTGCCCCTTCAGTCCAGGTCGGCTGGGCGCTGCATTTTGGTCGATTGAGGTCGGGATGTGGCCCTCGTCTCGAGGGGATTCGTATCCGGCCATGTCCTTGGGACAAAGAAGGTCGGGTTATATTTCCTAACAAGCATCTCCAATAGTGGTGTTTTTTTTTTTGTTTGTTTGTTTGTTTTTTTTTTTTTTTTTTTTTTTTTTTTTTTTTTTTTTTTTTTTTTTTTTTGAGGTGCCTATTAGGAGAGAGATGAAGGAAAGATAAAAAGAAAAAAGGAAAAAAATAAATAAAAGGATGTCTGACATGAAAAAAAAACAGTGGGTTTGACGCACCAGCGGGAGCGGTATGTGAAGCCCACTCACGCGGTTGCGCCTCTCATTTTCCTTCTCTCTCCTGGCAAACCCTACAAAAAATCAATTTTACACGAGGAACTCATTTCTTCTCTCTCTCTCTCTCTCTCTCTCTCTCTCTCTCTCTCTTCCTTCCCTCTCTCCTCCATATAAAACATGTATACCTAAAAAATTGTGAAAAAATCACAACTGGAATGCTTTTATTGAAGTTCTAACTTTTAAAAAAATAAAAATAAAATTAACCTGCGTTTATTTTAATTCTCTAAATTTTTAAATTATTCAATTAGTAAACAGAACCATTAAAAATCTACAAAAAGTTGGCGAGTGTTTGCAATTGTGCAAACACTAAAGAGCCCTCCCTCTAGATGCAAAAGTATGAAGCCACAGGGGTGTAAGTGAAATTTTATTATTATTATTATTATTTTTTGAAACATTATTTTTATTTTTATTTTTATTATTATCCTACGTGATAATTGTTTCACAATATTGGACAGGGCAGAGGACCCATGCGAGTGAGTGGTCGTTGGTCAACAGTATAACTTCCGTAAACTCCGAAGCGGGACCCGCAGGTAGGTCCCACAAGTCCAATAAGACACCTTCACGGATGAGTGATATGATATCCATCCCCGGGCCCCACAACCCCCCTCCCCTTTTACGATAAAGACTGTCTCCGCTTCCCCTGTCTGCCACATTAACGGCTACTTTCTGCGAACCCATTTAAAATTCCACGTGGACTCCCTGAATTTACAAAACAGCCCCCCTTCTTTTGGCGGGAATCAAATTCCTGGGCCCACCTAGTGCCCTGCACTACCTGATCAATTTAAGTGCTGTTAATTATGCTTACTTTCCAAACTAATGTCATAAGTTTTGGTTAAAATCAAAAGACTTCTCCATTATCTATTTCTTCTCCCAAAAGGTTGAATCCCAATAAGGCCTCCCATATCCCGACTTGACAGAATATTTCGAAAAATGTAAATCATGGTAACTCAACTGAACATGAATCACAGAGGCTAGACCTTTGCTTACTGCGCACAAGGAGCCTCTCACTTTAAGAGGTAACTCCCACACTGCCGTTGGTGAGGCTCGATCCATGGACATTTTTCCTACATGTATTTCTTAATCTTACTCCCTGATATGACGAATTTTGATAAATTATTCTTTTCATGCGGGTCTCAATACAAGTGTCTACATCAAATATTTTGTGTGTGAGAGTATATATTGGGAGTATAAGTTATTTTTTTCATATGAATCTCAATACAAGTGTCTAATTAATATTTTGTGTGTGTAAGAGTACATATTGGAAGTACAAAATAGAAATACATGTAACATTTTCTAAATTAAAATTTTTTAATTATCTGGTGTCATATCTTCCTACTTAATAAATAACTAAGCATTAATTATTTAATCACATCATTTTTACAACACCACATAGCTAAACATTAATCATTTAATCACATTTTCTTGAGTAGGGAAAGGAAACAAGAAAATGAATGATCAAAAACTTTAATTATGCGTTCAAAGAATACATGAACAAGGAAGAATGAAGAAAAAAAAAAACGAAGAAATTACAGGTAATTAAGAGATAATAATCAAATGGGAGAAGGAAGGGTGGTGGGATCGGCGGAGGAAGGGATATCGGGGCCGACACGGCAGCCTTCGAGCATGAACACGACGTCAGTCATGGAAGGTCTCTCCAGAGGATCAGGCATGGTGCAAAGGAGACCCACTTTAACTCCCAGCAAGAACTCTTCCCATTCCGATGACTCCGGGTCAAGCTCCAGCAAACCCGGTTCAAGAAGCTCCGAGATTTGCCCTCTCTGCAACTGTCTCTTCACCCACTTCACGATGTCTTCGTCGCCGTTGAACATCACCGGTTTTCTCCCCGTTAGAATCTCCAGTAACACGATCCCGAAGCTGTACACGTCGGCTTCTTTCGTGGGTAGTCCGGTTAAGGTAACTTCCGGGGCTACATAGCCTAGAGTCCCCACCGGGGTGGCGGATGTGGAGGCGGCGGCGGCGGCCGCCCCCGCCGCCGCTTTGCTTAGCTTTTCTAACCCGAAATCTGTTAAGTGAGCTTCGAAGTCGGCGTCGAATAGCACATTCTGTGGCTTTATATCGCCGTGGACCATTGAAACGGAGTGCAAGAACGCTAATCCGCGGGCAATGCCGAGGGCGATGAGGTGGCGCATTGGCCAGTTGAGGACATGGCCGTCCTGGTGCGAAGCTTCTTGTAAAAGGGTGGCTAAATTGCCGTTAGGCATGTAGTCATAGACAAGTAGCCGGACGTCCGGCGGCGGTCCGGGGTAATATCCCCGGAGAACAGTCAGATTCCGGTGTCTCACTTTGCCCAGAGACTCGGCTTCTTTCCGGAAAGTGTTTTCTTCAATGGAGGTATCCGGGAGGCGGCGAATGGAGAGAACCATTCCATCTCCATAATTAGCTTTGAATTCAACTCCATATTTCCCTCTGCTCAACACATTCTCCTCATCAAATTGCCTGGTGGCTTCCACAGTTTCTGCATAAGTGATCTTGTTGTTGAACATTATAAGCTTAGGCCCTCCATTTTCGCCGCTTCCTCTCCCGGTTTCTCCCCCGGAGCTAGCCCGCCCGGGGCTGCTGCGCTTCTTCTCCCCGCCCCGGCCTCTCAGCTTCCTGTTCCATTGAATCAGGCTGTAGATATAGCCACAGCAGCAGAATGTGAGGACAATCATTCCTATTGCAGACAACACAATGAGCAAAATCAGCTTCTTCCTTTGTTTCCCCTTGTCATTCTTGCACTCCTTCAATGGCTTCCCACACAACCCATCATTGCTAGCAAACAGAGATGGGTTGTTGAAGAGAGAGCCCAATGGCACCGGAATCTCGCCCTCGAGATGGTTATGGGAAACATTGAAGTCTTTCAGAGAAATCAGAGGCAGATTTGAGGGGATTGTGCTGCTCAAATTATTGGATGAGAGATTTAAGATTGCCAGGTTTGACAGCCTTGATAAGGAGTCTGGAATGCCACCTGATATGTTGTTTGAATCTAACAAAAGGGTTGCCAATAAGGAGCAATTGGAGATCTCTTCTGGGATTTCGCCTGTTAAACCATTGTGGCTCAAATGAAGCTCCCTGAGATGAGATAAATGGGAGAACTCATTGGGGATTTTCCCTCTTAGATGATTGTGTTGAAGCTCCACCACTTCAAGAGCAGAACAATTGCCCAATTCAAGTGGGATAGAGCCATTGATTCTGTTCTTGGAAAGAGAGAGAACTTTCAAGGATCTCAGGAACCCAAATGTGGATGAAATCTGTCCAGAAAAGCCATTAGATGACAGATTCAAGTACTCCAGACTGGACAAACTGCTAAAACCTTCAGGAACATCTCCGGTGAACTCATTTTCTTGTAAAGCAACAGCTTGCAAACTGGGCAGCCCAAAAAGCTCAATGGGCAATGCTCCAGACAGGTTTTGTTTACTCAAATCAAGAGTCTTGAGCCACAATAAGCTTCCGATGGTCGCCGGAACCCTCCCGGAGAACCCACATTTGCTCAAATTTAGAGCCTCTAAACCATTCAGGTTCTGAATGTCCACCGGAATTTCGCCGGAAAACTTGTTGCCACTCAAATTCAAGGTGCTCAAATTTCTAAGCAGCATCAGGTCTTGGGGCAAATTCCCACTCAAATTGTTGCTGCTTACATCCAAATATACAAGCTGATTAAGACCACCAAAACTTGCAGGAATCGAACCATTGAAAAGATTGTTACCAAGCGACAACAATGTCAAGCTCTTCATTCCTCCTAAGAACTCCGGAATCAAACCGGGAAACCGATTCCCACTAACATCAAGTCGCTGCAGCTTCCGACATTTCTTAATACTATCTGGAATTTTTCCGGCGAGTGAGTTGTTAGCCACGTTTAGCTCCTCCAGCATTACTAGATTTCCCAGATTGCTAGGTAAAGCTCCGGAAATCGAATTTCCAGATATATCAAGAACCTTTAGCGTAGAAATGCCCAACAGCCAATTGGGGAAAACGCCATTTATGTGATTCCCGTGAAGGCCGAGAACCTCCAAAACACTTGAGCATACTGCATTTTCCGGGTTGACTAAGCCCGTGAATGCATTAAACCCTAGCTCAATAATCCTTATAGTATGAGCATTGACTGAGACTTTACATAAGAGCGATGCAGGGACCACGCCTGTGAGTTGGTTATGCGATAGTGAGATGACTTGCAGGTTCTGAAGAGAGCCGATCGTCGACGGCAAGAGCCCTCGGAGATTGTTGTCGCCGGCGCTGAAGTGTATCAGGGAGGAACAGTTGGAGATCGCCGACGGTATAGTTCCGTAGAGCTGGTTGGAATCGAGCCAGAGGTACTGTAGGTTCTGGAGCGCTCCAATGCCGGCCGGAATTTCTCCGCTGAAGCGGTTGAACGACAGGTTTAGCAGCTCGAGCTCGGCGGCGGCGGAGAGGTTGGCCGGCACGTCGCCGGAGAACGAGTTGGAGGAGAGATCCAGGAACCGGAGGCTGCGAGGAACACCGCCGGGGATTCCACCGGACATAAAGTTCCGAGCGACGTTGAGAACTTGCAGATTCGTCAGGTTCGAAATCCCCGGCGGGAGGTCGCCGGAGAGCGAGTTGTTATGCAGGTAAACCGCACGCAACAGAGAGCACCGCGACAGCCCCCGCGGCACGGAGCCGTTGAGGTTGTTGGAATGCAGGCTTAACCTGCGCAGCTGGCGCAGGTTAGCAATCCGTTCAGTTATCCGTCCCCGAAGCTGAAGGCGCGGCAGGCGGAGCTCAACAACGCGGCCGCCGTCACACCGAATCCCAACCCAGTCACACGGAGCCGACGGCGTGGAAGCATCCCAGCCGTCCAATGCGCCAAGCGGATCTTCCAAGTTCCCCTTGAACGACAGCAACGCCTCAACCTCCATCTCCTCCGGCGTCGGCGACGCCGCAGTCGCAAAAGCAGAGGAAATTAACAACATATGCAGAAATAGCGCCACCGCTGTCGCGGCGGCGGCGAAGAAGGAAAAAGTAGCCGTTGACATGAGAGCGGGGGTGAAGGCTATGGGAGCGTATTGCAGACTGAGAAGGAGAAGAAAGATGACAAGATCGAGGCCATGTGGCAATGGTGAAGTGCGTTTAGTTTTTGTAAGTATTGTAGGGTTCCGTTTTCTCTCTTCCCAAAGACGTTTTTTTTTTTTTTAGATTTTTTGCATATAAAGAGAGAGAAGAAGAAAGAAGCTCTGCTGGAAACGCCCCTTTTTGCACCCAACTCATATGCGGACGGCTAATATAATTAACAATCATTATATAAATCAAAATTTATCTTACCTTATTAGTGGACCATACTACAAAACAACCTTTTTTTTGTGCAATTAAAAATAACGTTGATAGTCGAGGGCTTAACTTAATGGTTCAGTAAATAGTATTTGAAAAAAAAAAAAAAGATTTAAGTTTGAACCTTGGCGATGACAGTGTGGGAATTATGCCCAAAATGTACAGATCCTTTGTCCCGAATCATTGAATTACTGTGATTTACATCATTCCAAATACTCTATTGGGTCGGGATTGGAGGTTCAACTTTTTTGGAGAGGAATAAGAAATAACGTCGTACTTGGTACCATAGTGTTGTATGTACTTTTTATATAATCAAAATTTATCTTACGTTTAAAGTGGACAATACTCTAAAACAATATTTTTTGTGCAATCAGAAATAACGTTGGTAGTCAGCAGGAGTTTAACTCAATGGTTCAGTAGACAGTGTATTGGAGAAAGGACAAAGGTTCAAACTTTTGCAGGATTACGTCCGAAATGGACAGATCCTTATCCAAAATGCTCTGCCGGCCGGGATTGGAGATTCAACCTTTTGTTAGAAGGAGAAGAAATAGAGTCTGTACTTGGTACCATAGTTGATAGTGTAAATTTCACGTAATGCGGTCAAGATAAAGATACGACCAAGTCAAAAGCAAGTAAAGTCTTTTATTGATCGGTAAAGGACCTAATACAATCTAAAATGGCTATTCCGAAGGCCGACTGACTACGGTCGGACAACTCTGTAAATAGCCTATCGATTGTCTCAAAAGTCCCTCACACTGTAGCCACCGTGGGTATTTATAGCCGCTAGGCCGGAGACACAATTCCGGCCGGCCGGCATGTAACCCACGTAGCACCCACGTGTCTTCACCCAACGAGCCCTGCCTGTCATCGTGTAATGTCGCCACGTGTTTCTTCTCAAATCTCTCGTTTAAGGGCCATCAACCGGGTGCTGAAGACATCAGTCGGAAGATACGCCGGTCGGGTCCGACCGGCTTCCGACAGAAATGTCCGACCTGTAAACCTGCACAAACAACAAGAAAAGACGTGGCAAACAACAAGAAAAGACGTGGCATGCCGGTCGGGATATATCCTACCAACAGTGTTGTATGTACTTTTTATATTAATTAATGAACATAAATTTATAAATTTTATTACGGAGTATAAAATTAATCAAATAAAAGAATATTAAATGCCATTAGATTTTGTTTTTAACTCTGAAAAAAAAGAGTGTATTCCAGCATGAGAGTGAACTGTGAATGGTAACATTTGGTATACAAGGTGAAGTAGAACTGCAGGAATTGAATGTCCTTTGTTAATTTGAATATTACTTTCTCTATCCTGACAATACCGTTTCATTTGAATGAATATGTATATTTAATATATTGGTTAAATTATACTCCGTAGTATATTTTAATTGTGCATACAACCTCTAATATTCGGGAGAGGATGTACAATGTATAAACTCTGTTCATATGTAATAGCTCGCAAATTAAATATGAGAAGTAAACCTTACTGCAAAGATCATGTGTGACGGGCATGAAAAAATGTTAACAAGAATCAAACTCATAACTTTTTGGTATGAGAATCATGCTCCACACACTCATCTATCATTTTTAGAAATATAAAATAAGTATTTTTATACAATTAAAAAATGGAGTGTGTGAATATTCACAAAAAAAAAATGAGATTGAAAAGCAAACGCGCACAGCCAGTGTTGTTTTTTTTTTTTCTTTTCTTTTCTGACATTAACTTGATATTTGCAGGACAAATCTTTTCTAAAATAATCCCACCCCATATTTGTTATTAACCCCACCCAAGATAGTTCATCTGACAATAACTCCATAGTAACCACTTTAGTGAATGCTCTTATTACCCAGTTATTTTATGTAAAAAAAAGAAAAAAATCAAGTTATGTTCATTTCTAATTCAAATAAAAACTGTGATAATAATTTTTTTGAAGGCAACAAGGCAATTAAATTAGATCAACAAAGAGTCGAAAACAGGAAGTGGTACATCACACCACTCTGAGAGAGTAGAATAATTATTTATTTATTTATTTATTTATTTTGCATACAACATGATCAATCTTCACCACTTTAAAACTCATGTCACAATAGTACATCTTTTGACTTTATATTACATTATAGTCTACCTATCAACCGTCTCATATTGCTTAGGTTAATTGTAATTTTTTCAATACTAAGAAAAACAACAAAAAAGTACATAAAAGATGCCCTCGTCACTCTTATATTGTTCACTGTCAAAATGAATTACACACCAACTTCATACCATCCAAAATGGATCACACATTCACACACCATTTGGGATCATCCAAAATTGCTTTAATTATAAAGAGTGAATTCCATTTTTGGTCTTACTGTTATAGGGGCGTTTCCAATTTTAGTCCACCTTAATTTTTTTTGCCACTTTATAACCACTATTATTGAATGTGTTCCATTTTTAGTCCCATCGTTAGTATTTCCATCAAGAGGCCGTGTAATCTAGGAGTATTTTGACCTTTCTTCTCATCCAAGACTATGTTTGACTAAAGAAATGAGAACATTTAATCTAAAACCTAAGAAACCTCGTCGGCCCATGTTGGAATAAACGAAAATGATGTAGCTTTGGCTTCACATTCTTGTTGTTCGAAGAGCCATCTTCGAATATCGTCGAAGGAGGACGAAGCGCTTGGATTAAAAGAGAAGAGACAAACATAAAAAGACCAAAATACCCTTTGATTATACGGCCTCTTGACGGAAATATTAACGGTGGACTAAAAGTGGAACACATTCAATAACAGTGGTTGTAAAGTGGCAAAAAAATTAAAATGGACTGAAATTGGAAACGCCTCTATAACAGTAGGACCAGAAATGGAATTCACTCAATTATAAATGAACTTATTTAAGAAAAATCAATAATTGCAATTTCTATACTATTTCGTCCAATTTTTTAAAATTTTCAAAGTACACAAATTATATTTCTTGTGTCTTATTTTACATGTCATGTTTACTATTCATTAATCAATTTAACTCTTTTTTTTTGGTTATTTTCTTTAACTTTTTTTTTTATAATTGTTAAATTTGACTTTTTTACGTTTAATAATATTTTTTGATGTAGTTTTTAAATATATAAATTTTATGCACTAATAGTAAATTAAATATTAAAAAATTAAATTGTAAATGACTTTGATCAAATATTGTTATTCAAATGGGAGAGAGGGATCGGAGTATACTTCAATAATGTGGGAAAGCATAATATAGGTAGAGGCATAGGATTGCTATATTTGGTTGGGAGAATCTTTTGCTTGGTTGGCATTCTCAATTCTATATGGTGTCATTTCTTATCAAACAAAAAATTACTTTCATATCTTTCTTCTTTATAGTACGTGCAATAGTTACAACTCTTATTTTTCATCTAATTAAGTTACCTAAGTTCAATCTATGTAAATACCTAAGTTGATATTGCAGGGTGAAAAAGCAAAACAAATCGTATATGGATTAAACGTAAAAACTATTTATAACTACTTTCTCCAACTTACTGAAACACATAGAGCCCTACTAAGGTTCAAATTCATAACCTCTCATATGAAAGAGCCACTTTGTGTCACTAGACCACAAATGTCATTGGCCAATTTTTCACTTCTTAAGTTTACAGTTTTCAATTTTCCAATCTTCATTTTTTGTTTATTGTTTTCTAAATATACAAATAAACGTATTCTCTATTTTCTTTTTCCAATTATTCTAAACATTTAAGTTGAGTTTACTTCAATTATTAATTTTTCATTCCTCAAGTTTTCATTTTTAGCTTTCCAATCTCATTTTTTTTGTTTATTGTTTTCTAAATGTACAGATAAACATATTATCTATCTAGGTTTGTTTGTCTTATTCTGGTCTTTTGCCGGATAAGGTCACAAGGCGGGGTTTACCCAATGCACATTTTCGAGTAGTGATTGAGGATTTCTTTTGTCACAAAAAAATGAATAACAAAAAAATATGTTTACTTGTATATTTCTCCAATTCAAAATTATACGGTTTAGAGAAAAAAAATGAAAAATTAACGTAAACGTAACCTGAATATTCTCATCTAAAACACAACTTAGCTCCGGATGAATGGTTGAGATTGAAGGATTGGGATGGGTGGGTGGGGTGAGTGGGGTGGGATGGGGGGAGGGCTAGGCATCATTAAAACAAGTTGGGGATACATGGTGCTATATTTAAAGTCACAAGGGTGGGTAGGGTACTCAACTCAAAAGCCAAAAGCTCACTCCTTTTGGCTGATTGGTGATGGTGCCCTTTAAATTGAGTCTTTTTTATTTTTTGGGGTTAGGTCCAATGTGTCATGCAGAATTGATTGCATGCCTTTAGAAAATGCATCAATTCAATCTTTTATTGAGTCACCTTTCAGTTGTGACTATTCATGAAGATAATAAAGATAATTGGATTTGGACCACCTTTCCCTTGTTTTGCGAGGGTCAACTTCTTTTGTCTATTCCGGAAGAAATGAATGCAACTTATATCATCAACCTTTGGTAGGTAGGTATCTCAATCTCATCACAATCAAATAACATTGTAAACCAATAGAGTTTTTTTTGGTGGTGTATGTGTTCGAGAGGCTGGATATGATAGTCTATTGTTCTTTGGAGAGTTATTTGGTGAATTGTGATGGGAGGAGTTTGAGTAGTAAACTGTTGTAATTGTACGTAAATATTTTGACGGAATAATTCAACAAGAACGGTGTGATTAGAGCAATTCAACAATTTCAATCTTATTGTCATCACTTTAACCTCACTTTAATTTTCTCCCAAACAGGGTAGTGGATTACGCCCATCATAAAACTTTCGATCAATAGGATAACTAATGGGTTCAATAATGGGAGCAATGTGACTAAACTAGTCCAATCACCCCAATTCTATCGTTATTGTCATGGCAGCTCAGTTGCTCACAGGGATAAAGTTTGAGAACAATGACCCGAGATTAAGTCTCAACAAAGGTCTAGCCTCTATGTTCAACTTGGGCGTGGGGGGCCTTTAGGGTGGGATTCAACCTTTTGAGAATATTGTGATTAGAACTAGCGCTCAAACAGTTTAGTAAAAACTTCAATGAGTCGAGTAATGACTTGGTGGTATAGTGGTATGATTGGAACAATAAAAATGTAGAATGGTTTTCTTTCTAATACTCATTTTTAATTTTGTAGTATTGGTCCCTTTTCCTATTTTGTTTTTTCCCAATTACCTTTGTTGTCTTCCCTTTATTCCAAAACTTTTTTACTATTACACCAATTCATTCATATTACTAAAAAAGAATGCAAATATTACCACATTTAGTAACTAACCAACTAATTTAGATTCAAAAACTACCCTTGTTTGATAAATGGCTATTAACTGAGAGATGTTAGCTGTTAGTTGATTGGATTAATTAGAAGGTATAACAAGTTCATAACATTAGCTGATTGTAGGAAGGTGTTTGGTAAATTAGTTATTAGTCGTTTATTATAATTTCTTTTCTCAAAAAGCTAATTGAAAAATCTGTTTTGAACAGTTTTTTGAATTTTAGCATTTTGGAGTTATTTTTTAACCAAGTCAAACAATTAATAGTGGTCAAATAAGCTCAAATTTATTGATAGACTAATATTTTACCAAGGCAATATGAAAATTATGTTCTGTGGACTAGATCAAACTTGGGAACTTTTTTTTTTTTTTTTTTTTTTTTTTTAGTATTCTTTAATGTTATTAGTTGTTGTCATGCCATTATCATATATCCATCCATGCAACAATCATTAAATCTTATGAGAGTTACGTATATGGTTTGATTAAGAAGTTTCATTAGAATTATTAGTGAATAATGTTACTTTTTGAAATGGACATTTGTACGTGTATAGAATTTCACTACACTTTCTCTTTTTTTTTTTTTATTATTATTATTATTATTATTATTATTATTATTATTATTATTATTATTATTATTAACAACCTAGGTTTCCGCCTCTTCACAGTATATATCTTGAATTCTATGAATTTGTCTTAGGCTTATGAAAAAATAAATCGAGTCAATTTAATTTCAAAACTAACACTAAACTGTACACTTCTCGCCCACAAGAATTCAAATCAAAATCCAATTCAATCTCTAATCAAGGCATGAATTGAACCCTCTTACCACGAAAGCAAGTAATTGAGGCTAACAAGTATTGACTTTTCTTCAAATTATATATATATATATATATATATATATATATATATATATATATATATATATATACTTGCACTCGGGTGCGAACGGCTCGTCCAGGCGCGAAATAGGAATGGATTCTGTTCGTCCATGTGTCCAGATCTAATGGATGAGAAACACTGATTTTTTTAAAAAACGTGGTGGCATTTTCGTAAATAATTGAACATCGAAGTGCAAGTAAAATGTATTACAAGTGCATGTAAAATGTATTATAGGTGCAAGTAAAAATTTACACTGAGCATCAATACTTAGTTGCAATTATAGTTCTAATTAGTTGCACCTATAGTTCTAAGTAGTTGCACACATAAGTATAAGTAGTTGCATCTAGGTGTATGAATGTTTGCGAGTGATTTTCAGGAGTATTACTACCCGCTGAACTCAGATCAATGAATGTTAACAAGACAAAATTACATGCACTTATAGGTGAAAGTAGTTGCACCTATAGTTATAAGTAGTTGCACCTATAGTTATAAATAGTTGCACATATAGTTATAAGCACACCCAGGTGCATGAATGGTTGCGAAAAGTGAATGCTAACAAGGCAAAATTACATGCACTTATAGGTGAAAATAGGTGCACTTATAAGAGATTTTACTTGCACTTCGATGTTCAATTATTTACGAAAATGCCACCGCGTTTTTTTTTTTAAGTTATTAGATCTGGACACGTGTTGCGCGCTGATTCGTTCGCATTTATATATATATATATATATATATATATATATATATATATATATATATATATATATATATAACACAAATCACGCCCACCTAAAGCTTTAGGCCAATGCACCTTAAGTACACAAACCACGCAGCTTAAGTACACAAGTCACACACCTTAAAAACACAAACCACGCACCTTAAATACACAAGCCACACACCTTAAGAACACAAACCATGCACCTAAAGTTGTAAAATGCCGCACCTTTAAGTTTCAACAACAGCTCACGCACCTTAAGAAGAAAACCACACACCCCTTAAGTACACAAACCTCGCACATTAACAACTTTAAGTTTCAACAACTCACGCACAATGAAAACCACGCACCTTAAGTACACAAACCTCGCACCTTAACAACCGCACCGAGAACCCATTTATATATATAACATAAAATTAACAACAACAAAAGAAAAAAAAAAAAAAAAAAAAAAAAACCGAAAGCATTGTATAACATAAAATTAAAAAAAAAAAACAAAAACCGAAAGCATTGAACAAATCGCCATTGACGGAAAATTAAAAACATCTTACATAGCATCATCTGGTTCAGAATCCTTGGCTTCTTTTATGGTTTTATCGATGGTTGCCGATAAACATTGGACAAAGAATAAACTTTTTTACAGGTAATTTAAACTTTTAATTAAAGTAAAAAGAAAAATTGCTTATTCCATCGTGGCCCTCAAAGTTGCCTCTACCCCCAAAATTTGAGTTTTTTGTCTACTTTACTGGCCAAGGCGAAAAAAAAAAAAAACAAAAAAAACAAAAAAAAAAAACTTAAAAGTTGGGTGGTAATCGTCCTAGCGTGCCCCCGTTGAACAAGCACACATAATTTTATTTATTTATTTATTTATTTTTGTAACAAAAATCTCTCATTAGCAAACCTTCTTCCACCTAGGAAAAAGTTATGAAAAACCTTTGAAAAATTATAGAAGTGTGATTCTCTAAATGGCACTGTGCTATGCCTTGTCTGGCAATTATGGATATTAGTATTAGTTTCACTAAAGAATATAGATCCTCTCATTTATTGGATTAGTCTTTTAAAATTAGTATTAATATATTTATTGAGAGGTCAACCTGACTAAAAAAGCTATAGAGTATACTTTCTGAAGAAGGTCGGTTTGTCTTACCTATCTTCACTCAGGATGCCCAACCAACCTACCTACAATCTCAAGAATGCGATGAGTTTGTTACAATTGTCCTATACTCGTCCTACTAGCCCTAATTACAAGGAGAACTACCCTTAATGTGTGTCTATGTTACTATATTGAACTTCTAGTAACGACTAAAAGTCCTTAATTTCTAACATAAAAAATATAACCGCATGTCCGTGTACTAAGAAAGGGGAACAAATTGAAACTATACTCAATTAAATACACTAAAATTATTACCTTATTTCCTATTCGTTGCTATGTTTTTACGATCTCAATTACACTATCTTGCCTAGCTTACCGTTTACGTTGAGGTCGTAAGTGAATAAACACCAACACTACTTAGTACTTACTAATCAAATATAAATGAAACCAATTAAATATTGCCACATAAAGAAGTACAGAGTAAAAATTAAGAGAGAAATCGGTTATTGTCAATTGATAATTTTAAAACTTTCTATTCAATACAATTTGAAATTCCCAGAAATTGATAACTAAGGGTAATAAAATTGGAAAATGGTCTCTCTCTTTTTTGGTCTTTTATATTATTACTATTTTTATATATATATTAAAAAAAGTACACAATGAGAAAGATGGCAATATGAAAAATTGACTATACACAGCTGAAAGGGCTCTTTCAAGAATCTATGGAGTCACAATGTTGGTACAGAGAATGAAATTACAAGGAATGAGAATGGGAATGGGAATGGGAATCGTATTTGACTATACACCTTATATCACCATCATAGCTTTTGTTGGTATGCCAAAAGGAAAACAAAAATAAAAAAAATATACTCAGCAATGGCTAGGATGCAAAGAAAGAAGTGATGGAAAACCATGGCCATTATTGTTTTGTGCCAAACTAGCCTTAGATTATGAAAGGCATTCTTGGTGCCCAGCTGAAGGATCTGAAGTTCATAGGCTGGGGAGCAAAGCTGAGTCCAAACATCTCCTTTGATGCCGCGTTTGGCTCTATGATCCCGACTAGTTTTGCAACGAGCGCTGCACTTTTCTTCAGATGCTCCATGTCTTTCGTGTTCTTCCACAGCCTATTGCACAGCTGCAGCCTCCTTTGCTTCGAGCTTAGCCCGATCCCCCATTGCTGAAACATGTCGTTCCTCTCGCTTGCAGAGAATGTCCTCACCATCTGCTTGCACAACATGTCCCTCTCGCGCTTAAGAGCTTTTACGCTGTTAAGAGTCCCACATTGATCAAATAAGAGAGAACATATGGGTTTATAAGACTAGCTAATTGGTTGGATTCAATCTTTTAGTGTGGTTTGGGCCATGTGCACTATAGCTCAGTTGTCATGACACCAATTCATGTTTAGAGCATTGCAATTGCAATTTGCAGCTAGATTATTACCTTGCAGCCTCAGTTAAGAGTCTCACATTGATCAAATAAGAGAGAACATATGGGTTTATAAGGCAATAGGTTAGACTAGCTAATTGGTTGGATTCAATCTTTTAGTCTGGTGTGGCCAATGTGCACTTGCAGCTAGAGTATTACCTTGCAGCCTCGGTTAAAACTTGGCCGTCTTTTACCACTCTTTCTCCCCGAGACCACGAGTTCTTGAGGAAACATAATCGTCTGAACTCCACCTCCATGTAAACCGCGTCTGATGGATCTCCTTTGAAGAGAAGGAAGAAATATGTTCTGTGGACTAATGGCACATGGCATGCATCCCAGAGCTCGATGATCTTGCTTCTCTGCCTCTCGAATTCCTCTGGCCACTCGGAAGGCGTTTGCTGCAAATCGATTGCTGCAACTGCACCAGCATTGGCAACTTCTGCCGAGGATGCCTTGTCTTTTGGTTCATCCTCGTGGAGCTACACAGATAGGAGAAAGCTCGTCATGTATGATTCTCGAGGGAATAAGGCTAAAACATTTCATTTGTGGTATAAATGTGGATGAATAGTCAGTAAATCAGATTCTTACCAAATCAACCAAGAGTTGGTTCTTGGGTACAGCCTTGAGATCCTCGTTTTCATTACAATTTTGCTTCTCAGGCACGGGTTTGAGAGCTTCGTTTTCGTTACAATTTTGCTTCTCAGGCACGGGTTTGAGATCTTCGTTTTCGTTACAATTTTGCTTCTCGGGCATACCTTTGGCGCCTTCTAGCATTGCTGCAAATACTTCTTCATATGGAATGACATTGTCCATTGATGCTTTAAATTCGTGTTCCTTTAAATCCAACGAGCCATCATTGGCAGAGCTAACATCTTCATTTGTGTGGCAAAGTTTGGCGTTTTCGTTCGTTGTTTCCTCACGAGCAGTGGGATCGTCGTCCATGGATACCTTAACATCCGAGGATTCATCATTGGCAGCAGAATTGAATCCCGCATCCATGGATACCTTAACATCCGAGGATTCATCATTGGTGGGAGAATTATTGAATCCTGCATCCATGGATACCTTAAACTTGTGCCCCTTAACATCCAATGATTCATCATTGGCAGGAGAAACGAACCCGGTATCCATGGAAACCTTAACATTGTGTCCCTTAACATCCGAGGAGGACTCATCTTTGGCAGCAGAATTGAATCCTATGTTCATGGATACCATAACATTGTGTCCCTTAGCATTGAAGGATTCATTATTGGCAGCAGGATTGTTGAATCCCGCGTCCATAGATACCTTAATGTTGTGTCCCTTAACATTCGAGGATTCATCGTTGGCAGCACGGATGAATCCCGAATCCAAGACCATGCCACTGTCAGATGTACCTCGAGAACGAGTAACCTTCTTATGATCAAAACCTTTCAGTTTCCCCGAGAACTGTTTTCCAAGCCTTCGTGTTGCCTGCCCATTTTCGTGCTTTCCATGAACCGTGGCCAGCAAAGACTTACAGCTTCTGAGCTTTGATATATTACTCGAGCCCGAGATACCAGTCTCAGAAAAAGGAGAGTATCCCATGGCTTCAAAATCAGGTTGATAATCTCCATAGTCAAAGGAGGCCTCGGTGAAGTCTAGGCTTCCTGCAGTGGATTCCATTTCGACACGTTGAAGTTCTTGGCCAAAACTGTGAGAAGATTTATGAGTGGCAATGTGCCAGTCCTTGGACGGGTCCGGTCCAAAATACTTGTCAATGAAGTGCCTCGGGGAGGTGCCATCCGAGAGAAACGAGTCATCATAACCCTCAGTAACAGCTTCAAATCTGTCAGAAAAACTCGACATTCTGGCTACTACAGCATCCATCTGAAAAGGCGTGGCCGAAGAAACTTCAGATGCTGGGTACTCCGAGGTGTCTGAATAGCAACTCATCTCCGCCTAAACGAAAAGGAAAACGGGACCAATATCACTATAAGTTCTGCATTTTGAGAATACAAAACTAGTTTAAGAATATCCAGCCTCCTCGTACCCATGGTCTTGAACGTAACAGATTCTGAACCTGAGATTGAGACATGTCGCGTTGCATCATCAAATCCCTCATTTCTTTCTCCATCTAGACAAAATACAGAAGATTGTTGTTACTAGGAAATACATAAACATTGAATCTTAAAAATCTTTACCTTTTCAATCAGAGCTTCCTTCTCCTTGAGTACTAAAGATGAAGTTTCATCTACAGAACGCGATCTTAGTGCCCTCAGTTCACTTTCCAGTTTCGCCAATTCTTTCTGCAGCTGTTTCACTAACGCTTTATCGGACATCACCACGTTCACCTGTGCTTTCGTCGCCACCTGTTTAGCACACGTAGCAAACAAGAGAGTGTTTCTCGACTGCTCAACGTGGCTATGTGCCGGGCTCATTGTACAAATGATGGCGGTTCTAGCATTGCCTCCTAACGAGTGTTGTAGTATCCGAGTTAGCTTCGAGTCTCTATAAGGGATGTGCCCATTTCTTCCTTTGCTGCTAACAACACGAGAAGAACATAACATCAGTTGAAGCATGTGCTCCATCTCAACTAAAAGTCTAAGCTGATAGTTGGATTGCACATTAATGGTTATATGCTCAACAACATCGAGCATTGCAACTAACTATATAGCACGTAAACCACAAACAATCACCTCAGTTTACGAATAACAGTTCCAAGAGTCAGCAAGCTACGGTTTATGTGACAACCTTCTTTTAGTCTCGTACCAGCTGATAATGTTTGTGAAGCACGCTCGCTCCCCGCAAGATCAATAAAATTCTGCCAAAAAAAAAAAAAAACGAACAATTTAGAAAGTCTATAGTTGCTTATATATAGTCTAGTATACACTACTTCAATTCCATACCACTGCAGCTGATAGAGTGCTATTGTTTCGAGGATGAGAATATTGGGTTGTAGAACTTTCAATCGTCTACAAAAAGGGCGCCACATTGTTAATTAACAAGAAAATATAACGTTACCAATGTTTTCCTAGTACTAGAAAACGAAACATATACATACATACATACCAACCGCAAAATCTGATGAGATCTGGAGCTCATTCCGTTCAGAGTTGTCTCTCCTATTTGTCTTTGAGCTGTAAGAAACCGAAACCAGGTCAGTACGAGGAATAACACGTTAACGTTACAATGTTGCATATGTGACATCATATAGTACGAGGTTTTTGTTACCTTCACAGATAGACAAGAGTTCACTTAGATGGCTCTGGTCCCTCGGCATCACTTCTGAAAGTTTCTCAACAACAGTTCCTCTCTACAAGAAAAAAAAAAAAAACACACACACAAAACTGTCAAATAACCGTCGCCTCCATGAGAGAATTTCATCGTTCGTTCTTCGTTCAAAATTCAAATATTCACCTCTGGATCGTCAAGGAGTCTGAGTGGAGTATTATCTGTGCTAAGGAGGTCTCTCACCACTTCATTATAGATCTCTATAGCGGAGAATTTCAGCATGAATTTTCTGTCACTACACTAAAAAAATTCAAACATTCGTGTAAAAGTAAATGTCAGATATATTTCGAGAAGGCATGAAATGTTTGAGAGCAATAGGTACCTTTTCTATATACTCAAATATATCTTGCATCGCATAGGCAGTAATAGCAGACATGGTATATGTCTTCCCGCTACTCGTCTGTCCATACGCAAAAATACTCGCTGGACAACCATTTCCACGGGTGATTAAGCTAGTCGATTGATACTCTGAGTTACATACTAGATAGTGAACAAGAAAAACAGAAAAATATACCATTCATGCCGCTTAGAACTGAAAGAACAACTCTTTTGGCAGCCTCATCATACACCTCTCTCGTGGAGCATTCTTGCCCAAATACTCTATCTATTACCATGGAACGAAGAATCAAAATGGGGAAAAACATAGTTATTATAGTACTAGTATAAATGTTGTAAACATAGTTAACCAGAGCCAAACACACAAAGACAGTTTTCTGTTATGTAGCCAAACACTGGAAAGGAAAATGTTTTTGTTTTCTGGAACTGCTTTCCAAATGGACCCTAAGTTTTCAAGAAGTATGAGCCTCAAAACAATGAGGCTTATCTTTCTCCAGAGTTTGAAACCGCAATTCCTACATACCCTATAGGCAAATACAACTTATTGAATCGTTCGTAGCAAAGAAGTTAAATAACCAGACAAACCATAAACCTCGAGGAAACATAACAAGGATAAACACGAAATACTAAATACTAAAAGAACAAGAAGGAAGCCGAGACATAAATGCATACCAAATTGGTAGGCTGCTGGGAGGTTGGAACGTTCCCCTTGAGCATTCTTGAACAAAATGGTGGTACTATCAATGCATTCCCAATCCGCGACATCATTCCTCGAATTCTCTCTGTCATTCAGAGGCCTAACCCTGATGGAAACATATATCTTCTCTTCATGTGCACTTGAACCCTGGTCATTCCATTGGGGAGGGCACCCCTCGTCCCCACAAACCGAGCTCATATCCTAAAACGCCCCCTTTCCAATGCCAACACCAAATGCACTTGAAGAGAATCAAAGTGTTCAAACCCAAATATCACAATTCTTCATAAGGTCTCTCTCTTTGAGCCAAAGAGAGGACCTAACTTAATAGCCCCCTTATCTGGTTTATATGCCAAAATTTTATATTAACACCAGTTTATAGTCTTCTTACCTGCAATAACCCCACATCATTCAACCAAATTAACCTCCCTATCCTAATACCTATTTCAAATTAGAAACCTACAAACATCTACAATTGTTATACCACGAACCAAAGCCCACCTCGCATTGTAGACCCTGTCCAAAACGACATTCAGATTATATGTACATAATCTCTTAACTATAACCACGGGCACAATTACGATGCAAGGTGAACCCTGGTACACGGTATAACATAATTTGCCTACTTCAAATTAGAAACCTAAAAAAATCTGACCTTGACCTTGGTATTCAGAATCCAAGAATGGGTTGTTCTTTTCAGCTCATGAAATGCAAATGCACTTCAATATAATCTGTCAATGGCAACACACAACCCTAGAGAATTAGAAGAAAAGAAAAGGAAGATAGGAACGATAATGAATGTATTGATGATTACCTTTGATTTCAATCCACTTGATATCTGTTTTGGCAAACCAAAGTACCGTTCAGAAAGTTAACTCCGTTTTATATTAAGAGATAAAATTACTACCAAAGACAGAGAGAGGAAAGGCATTTGTGGTTGTAGGTTTTCTGAGAGATCTAAAAGCAAGCCAAACCAGGAGATTTTTAGGGAATTGCGGAGAAAATATTTCTTCAACGGAGCTTCTTTTGGATGGGTTGTCAATGTAAGTTCTCATCAGGGAAGGTTCGGAAACTTTAGAGTGATGATCATGATATGATCATGCAGCCATCAACCTTCTTATTTTTTGCTATTTATAACAATAATATATATGTGTAATAGATCAAACTATTATCAAAGTTACTATACTTTCATGATTTATTTTCATTAAACTTTAATGCACAATAATCAAGAAATATATTTCATTCAATTTTATTTCAAACCTATTTATTATTAGTATCGTGGAGGTTAATATTACAAATATACCAACTTAGGTCACTCTATAATAAGCAAGTAGCTTCGTCTCATGATGAGCAAAATTAAAAGTCTTAGAAATAACGAATTATATTACAGATTTATTAAAAATCAATGTGCACAAGTTGTCATCACTAGGAGTGGTACGTCATGGTTCGGTTCCGATTCTGAATTGGAGTTTCCTATTCAATTCTGGAAACTAACAAATCAAAATAGGAACCTTCTAGGACGGTTCCGGTTTGAACCGGCAGTTTAAATCGTTTTTTTTTTCTATTTTTAAAATACTCCAAATTTAACAATTATTTTTTTAAAATTTTTTCATTCTATTTTTTTTTTTTAAATGGTTATATAAAATATTTAAAGTTAAACTAAAAAAATAAAAATAATTGTTATAGTTAAACTTTAAATTTTTATTTGAAGTTTAAACTTTAATCAAATAATTGTTATTTAAATTTTAATCAAATAATAATTAATCTTTAATTTTTTTTTTTTATTGTTTGGAACCAAAATCATATGGATATTTCTAATTCTGGTTCAGTTCTTACAGTACATGATTTGGTTCGAATTGGATGATTCGAACCAAATCGTGGACATCCCCTAGTCGTCATGTCACCTAGCTTAGGATATCAAGCTATCTAATCATTGACATCTAAAGCAGCATGAAAACAAGTATAATTGCCTTATATTCACCACTAGTACAAAAAGGCAAAAAGTTAATATGCGACCCTTGTATAGAGAATCTGCAACCCTTGTACAAGAGTCACGGAAAGCTTTAAGCTTTCCACAATCCTTTTTGTTTGGTTGCGGAAAGTGAAGAATCTAGAACCCTTTTTCTTAAAAGGGTCCCATTTCATATTATTATGAGTTGATTTCTTCTTCTTCTTTTTTTCATACTTTTACTAGGGCATGTCCACTTTAGTCCACCATAATTAATTTTGTCACATTGCGATCATCTTTTTTCTTAGAGCAATTCCATTAAGGAGATTTTGCACAGATTTGTATGTTGCAATGCTTTGTTGAAAGAGAGAGAGGGGAGGAGAGATAGCGCTTGGAATGGCCTATAAGCACCCAAGGTTTTGCAGTGGTGTAATTTTTTATTTTTTATTTTTAAAGAGTGATGTTGGATTATGGCTGTAATTTTTTTTTTTAAGGGTATGAACATAAGTAAATTTAGTTTTGGTTACAATTGACCTTAAAGTAAAGGTAGTCGCGGATGGATTCAATTGAAGAATCAAAACCAAAACGTACACTGTTTGAATCAAACATGAACCGTAATCGTATAACAAATAACTATTGTTAAAGTTAAGGTTTATAATTTTTGTGAACTGTAAACCATTGAGCAAAATACCATGGCTGATACTCTTGCTAAGTTAGCGGTTAGAAAGAGATGAGATGCCATTGGATTGAATTCTAGAGACCGCCGAGTGGTGTTCTTGAGAACCTTGTGAAGGGTAGGAACTTAATGAGAACTGGAAACTACTCTAGTTTTGGAGTCTCTCCTTCCCCTCCTTCCAAAAATATATATATATATATATATATATATATATATATATATATATATATATATATATATATATATATATATAACTATGCGCTATGTCCTATTTTACTTTTATTATTTACTATTCATTGATCAAATCAATTATTGTTTCTTTGTTTATTTTCTTATAATTTTTAATTCAATTTCTTGTTTACTAGTTCTTTTGATTAGCTTCTAAACATATAAATTTAAAGAATAATGGTTAAATAAGTCATCAAACTACACATGAAATTGCAATTGAAGACCATCTAACTAAAAAATAAAAAATAAAACTACAATTGACTCTCTCTACAATCTAAAGTCAAGAAATTAAATTTAAAGTAACATGTCATTTGCAGACGTGGTGATAACTTTCTTTTTAAAAAATAATTTTAATATATTTTAATTATTTTAAATAAATTAAAATAAAATAAAAACCAGTCAACCCCACTCCCATCATCGTCTCCAACTATATTTATTATATTAAAGAAAAATGCTATTGTACTTCTAAAAATATATACTTTTTGTTGTGCGATTTATAGCAATATATGTGTAAATGTGTAATAGATCAAACTATTATCAAAATTACTATACTTTATGATTTTATTTCTCAACTTACTGAAGCACAAAAGAGTCAATAGTCAATCTCTATCGAAGCTTAAATCTACAACCTTTTACATAGGGAAACAACTTGGTGCCAGTAGATCACAAGGTCCTTAGCTATACTTTATGATTTATATTCATTAAAACTTAATCCACAATAATCAAGAAAGATTTCACTGATTTTCTTTTTAAAACCAAATTATTAGTATTGATGAGGTTAATATTACAAGATAAAAACTTATGTAATACCGTCCCACGGGTCTCAATCTGTTAGACGGGTCGAATCAAAAACTGACTCATTAATTAAAGTCCCGACCCGTCTCACGGATTGAAACCCATGAGACGGTCAAACACAAGTGTCGTTACCCATATTACAAATATACCAGGTCACTCTATAATAAGCAAAATTGAAGGCTTTATAAATCACATAGTATATGATAAAATTATATTAAAAAAAAAAATGTGCCGAAGCTATCATCACGTCATTCAGGATGACTAACCTATCCAATCATGGACATTTGGAACCGCATGAAAACAATTACAATTGCTTTATATTCTTTTTTGAATGCTACTGACTCTATTACATTGTAGTATCTGTTCATATACTTTCTCAACCTACTGAAACACAAAGAGCCAATAACGCCTCCACTGAGGCTCGAACTCACAACCTTCCAAATGGAAGTCCAATCCGGATACCATTAGACCACATAGTCCTGGTACAATTGCTTTATATTCATGTTGTTAGGTTTTTTTTTTTTTTTTTTTTTTTTTCATTGCATTGTAGTATCTGTTCAAACATACTGATGACCTTTTATATGGGAAAGATCACTACATGTTAATTGAGCACAAGGTGCTTGGTCATGTTGTCAGTTTTAATTGCAAAGGAAATCGTCTTTGGATACACATCATAATTAGTCTATTATCTCTCTTGTAACAATTAGATGACATTTTAATCTATAAATATAATATACATGTATTATAAAATGGATTGACGTTATACTAAATTGACTAAATTCTGTTCTTGGCTCACCGTAATTAAGTAACTAAGAATCCTTTCAATTACTCTCATTTTGGTTCGCATTACATTAATAGTCGTTTTTTTTTATAGAAAAGCCTATGATTTATGTTGGGATCATAAGTTAAATAAACACCAACAAGTATAACGCAAAGTCAAATTTAATTAATTCAATTAGTTGTCTACTGCGATTGAGAAATGGTGTTATAACTTTACATCAAAAACTAAAACATCATTCCGTTGTAGTCTAGTCGGTTAGGATACTCGGCTCTCACCTGAGAGACTCGGGTTCGATTCCCGGCAACGGAAATTGAATATTTTTGCCGTTAACTCTTTCTCCGCCGGTGTTGATTGGATAATGCTTTGCCCAAAACGAAACGTGATTTATTCTCTGCATCCATACTTGCAGGTTTCTTGACTATCTTCTGCATGGATTTTTAAGGGGTTTTTGTGACCCTGGTTTATGTGTTTTGTGTTTATGACTTTCTTTATTTTGTATTATGAAATTTTGTATCTTAATTTTGTACGTGAAGCAAATTAGTAATTGTGAAGTATTGCGAAAATCTCGCTTAGGAACCGATTAATCGGCGCCTAGCGTATCACTATAATCGGTGATCTAGACGGATGGCTGACAAGGCCTTAAGCGTTGCCTAGACACTGACCGTGTAGGCCTCTCAGGCGCCAACTAGGCCTCCTAGGCACCGACTAGGTCGTCTAGTTGGCCGATTGACTATTGTTCCCTCTTTTTAAAGGGTTATTTCACTCAAAACAACATCGTTTTGAAAAAAATAACCCTAAATTGTTCAAAACTCTAGATGCTTTTTAAGTTAATATTTAATATTTTAGTATTAACTATTAAATTATTAAATAGTTTATAATTATCAAGTCTTAAAAAATTAAAAAAAATTTAAACAAATTTTTTAAGAATAAAATAAAAAAATAAAAAATACAATGGCGCCAATTAATTCCCGCCTAAGCGTCTAAGGAGCGCCTAGCGACTTTTTCAACCATGCTTATGTTACGAATTTATGTGTCTTGTGTTGTGAAATTCTTTGCCTATTAACACAAATTATGTACTTAAATCAGATTTGAAAAATAAGTAAATGTATAACATGTATTATGATCTTTATATTAGTATGGATTTTGTATCTCGTTGTTTCAATCTAGAGTTCATAATACTATGTGCTTTGTGTTGTGATTTTTTGTGTTTGTGTTAATAAAATTTGTATCGAATATGAGTTTTGTATTTCATCATTTCAATCTAGGGTCCATAATACTATGTGGATTTTGGTCCATGATATAAATTACATTCTTCTGGCTCCTCTAATGGGATAATTGGGGGAGTCATTACTCATTAGCCAGCCATACCATTCCAATTCCGCAAATTATGCTGTGGAAACGTGTTCACCATGCTTTGTGAACACGTTTCAAAACGGCATCGTTTTTACGGAAAAAAAATTAGTTAATGTACTA